CATCCGAACAAGTCTATGCATTTGCCAGCAGTGATAAAAAGCAGCAATAATGCTTATGGGAGATGAAGTTCTTCAGGGAATAAGAAGAAAAATGCTGTACCACTAAGAAGCCTTGCAAAGAAAAAATAAATGAGAGAGCAATAGGAAGGATAATCTGTAAACATATGGAGAGGCTTTACAGCTTTTAAAACTTCTTCACACAGCTCATCACAGGAAGATTGGTACAATAGTTTATTTTATGTCCAAAATGCACCAGATAACAAAAATGCCAATAAAAAATAAGATAAAAAAAAACACATCTCAAAATTGACTAATTCCATTAAAACACCAACACTGGTTTAATCAAACAAAGCATGGTAACACCTTACATTAATGTCTCATTCATGTTACTGAAATACATCTGTACTGACTAATGTTTATTGAGTCCATGACTAAATGTCCACATAAATAAGAACTAAAAATATTTACAGCATGTTCCTACATGATCATTTTCCTACAATCGCACGCACCATGGTGTTTTATTCCTCACATAGCAAATCATCTAACTCAATTCCACACCTAACCTTCAGACTCCTACACACTTCATGTTCTTTTTTTTTTTTTTTAATAAACAGAATATCAATACACCGACTTAAATTTGACATTGAATGGGACTTTTGCTTTAAATAAACATGTTAAACAAATTAATTTAAAGTGTCTGAGTGTTAAAGACAATGAATTCTGTGACTGCAAGTTGGGAGAGTGAATTGAACACAGTTAAAATTTGTAGCTGTGGGATTTGTGTAGTGGCTAGAACATGTGCTCACTTCTGTTCCTGAACATCTGTTCACTTCACTACATACACACACACATACACGAAAAAAAAAAAAAATAAATTACAGCAGATTCCTAAATGTTGATAGCTTTCTTAACTCAGGTCTTGAGGTGTAAATATTGGAACTTACTTTACAACCTCAGCTCTGAATATTGGAAGCTGACAACTGCCGACATGTTTACACATACATTTATGGCATTTGGCAGACTTATACAGATCAACTTACAGAAGTGCTTTGAAGTCTCTATCAAAAAAAGATATCGTCATGCTTGTTCACTAGGTCAAGGACTAAGAGTACCATCAGTCTAAAATTCTGTTGGCATGGTTTGTACAGTACGAAAAACACTAGACAAAGATTTCAAAGTACTTGGGAAAATATGGGTCTTGAGATAGCTAGTGACTTAGCTGTTCGCACAACCAGGGGAAGCTCGTTACACCCCCTAGCTGCCAGAACAGAGAAGAGTCTTGATGAAAGTCTCCCTTGTACCCTGAGAGATAGTGGGTCCCATTGAGCAATGCTAGAGGGTCAGCAGGAGCATGGTACAGTGCAGGGTGTGATGAAAGCTTTAAGGTAGGTGGGCACTGGTCCGTTTTTGGCTTTGTAGGAAAGCATCAGTGTTATAAATCTGATTGGGGCTGCTACAAGAAGAGAGTGGGGTAATGTGGGAGAATTTGGGAAGGTTGAAAACAAGTTGTGTAGCTGCATTCTGGATTATTTGCAGAGGACAGATGGTGTGCAGAGGCAGACCTGCCAGGAATGAGTTGCAGTAGTCCAGTCTCAAGACAAGGGACTGAACAAGAACCTGAGTGGCCAGATCCTCCTAATGTGGTAGATGAGGAACTGGCATGAGTGAGTCAGTTCAGAGATATGAGGAGAGAAGGACATTGATTGTCCATGGTTATCCCAAAGTTGCGTGCAGTGACAGATGGTGAGATCTGAGAGTTGTCAAGGGAGATCACAAGCTCTTGACAAGGGGACCCATCTCCTGAGATGTACAGCAGCTCAGACTTGCTGGGATTAATTTCAGCTGAAGAGCTGCCATCCAAGATAAGATGTCTGCCAAACATGGTAATATCCGTGAAGAAACATAAGTGTCAAAGCAGGAAAAGATCGGATGAGTTGAGTGTAGCTGTGACATAAAAAATGTGAGGACCTAACCAAGAGAGCAAGTATAGAGGGAAAACAGATGAGGACCCAGCAGTGAGCCTTGTGGGACACCAGTGGAGAGTCTGCATGGAGCAGATGTGGAACCCCTTCATGATACCTGATATGAGTGCTCCTCCAGGTAGGAAGCAAACCATTGATATGCCATATCACAAATGACATATTTTCCTATAATAGCATGCTCCATTGTGTTTTATTTGTTACATAGCAAATCTTCTAACACAATTCCACACTCAACCTTCAATCCTTTACGCACTTTATGATTTTTAATAAACAGAATTGCAATGCAACCATCTTAAATCTGGCATTGAATGGGATTTTTACTTTAAAGTAAGTTATTTATTCATGTTTGTAAATAAGTGTCTTAGTGTTAGAGACACACAGTTATATGACTGTAGGTTGAGAGAGTTAAAACACAGTTAAAAGTTTGCAGCTGTGGGTTTTGTGTAGCGGCTAGAACATGTGTTTGCTTCTATTCCTGAACATCTGTTCACTACACACACACACACACACACACACACACACACACACAAAGCCTAAAGAAACTTCTTCAAATTCACTTTGCATGTGATTATGTTTCATGTTTAATATTGTCAGTCAATGGTTAATTGGCTAGTTTATGAAATCCTTGATGGTATTTGTATGTGTATACTTGGAATCTCTTGGTGTGTGTCCATGTGTGTATGGATAATTAGATGATACACTGCAGTATGTAATGAGAAACATGATGCGTAAGTATCTGTAACTGATAAGAGAATTTTAAACAGTTTTTAAACACTTTCTTAATTCCACAGCTCCTATTACAGTTTAAAAAGCATGACAAAAATTTACACAGAGGCATAAAGAGATCACACTCAAGGTCGTGTCATAAAAACACAAAGGACACACGCAGACCATCTGTTTGCTCAAATTTTCCTCTTCTTCATGTCAGATTAAACTCTAATTAGGGAATTATGGATTGAACTCACATCTGTTTCAGTCTCTCTAGTGTCCAATCCTGATAAATCCTAATCTTCCTTTCAAACAAAGGCGAGACACAACCTGGTCATATTTCATGCATTAACTCTTGAGCTTTGCTGATAAAGTAAACTAGTTAGCTTTTGTTTATTCGAATGCACAAGAAATCCAGGAAACAGAGAACACAACAAACTGGAAACAGTGGAAACTAGAGAAGAATTCGAACTAGCGAATGCTAGAGGCCCTGATATACTCAGATCCAAAGTAATAGGAGCTCATTTGTGTGTGCAATAGCATGATATGGGCAGGCAAATAGTGGATGTGATGTCCAGTTCAGCAAGCCGAGTGCATAAACTCTGCTTTAAATTTATTAAGGGCAGGCCAGAAATCATAATCAGATATCAAGGCAGGGGTCAAAAGACAGGCAGACAGGCTCAAAATAAACATGCAAAGATTAAAAAAAACAAAAACAAAACCAGGAAGCATAAAGAAATGGAAACATGGCTTAGACTTAACAAACATGATAAGCCTTTGCAAAGACACGGCAAGCTATAAATGGGCAAATTAATCAAGAATTAATATTAAATGGGTGCATACAATCAGATAATCATGAGAACATGGTGCTTCTTGCCTTGGGAACTGCAATGCGAAGGGGGAATCAGTGATAGTAGGGGTGTTGTGGATGATTTACAAACAATGAGTCTCATTTATAAGTTTTTAGCAAAGCTAAATGTTTGCATAAGCCAATCTGAGCTTAATAATTCTGTCAGATTTACAAACATTTTGGATACGCTGGTTTACTTCATATTCAGACGATGAATGCGATGATGAATGCAAATCACCAGTAAAAAACCAGGCGTGTGCACGGCACAGCTGACTGGCATTTGGTGAGGCCCACAATATGTCATGACAGGCAAAGCTCACAAAGCTAAACGGACAAGGAAATGGCAAAAAAGACGTGAGGTAGAAGTTAATGCTGTTTTGACTCATGTCTATGCCAATAAAATGCTTTTTTACCAGCATAACAACAACTCAAAAGCTTCAAATCTGGAGCCAAACTTGGATCTGGAGCCACTGCTTTTTTTTATTCAAAGCAGTGTCTTGGAGGTTCTCAGACAGAAATCCCTATCACCCTTCACGATGCTGTATTAGAAAAGCAAGAAGTGGAAGTTCTGAGCCGCTGGCCATCGTCTTTTTATACAGCGCTTTAATACATTTCTTCTTAATTGAATGACTGGTATTATTTGTCTTAATTTATGTTGTGTTGCTTTCTTTATTTTTTTTTTTCAAATTTATTATTTCCTTAGTTAATATGATTAATATAAAATGATTGTAACAAAAGTTTCATTAAATTTATGTGCAACTAAAAATACACAAATTATTTAATTTTGACAACGTAATCCAAATATAAGTGTAATAGCTCATTGTACTTTTTATGATTTGAAGCTGATTAATTGAGGGTTACCTTAATTAGTCTTATTATGCGTACATTTGCACACACTCAGAGGCATGAGTAGGAGTACGAGTAGTGTAGTATTTTCATAAATACCAAATGTCTTGTGTAAATGCTCCATATGAACAAGTTACAAATAAATCTGTTTGTATCCAGCTTGATAAATGAGGCTGAAAATGATAAATGAAAAATAATTGTCTGAATTCTTTGACATGTAATGCCCTGGGGGAGGAGACAATATGTAAATGAGATTTCAGAATGCTCTAACGTTACCAGTAAGCATAAGTTTGGATACCCTGAGAAGATAAACCGAGCTTGAAACTGAACTTTAATGTTTTAAAGTTGGACTTTAAAGTTGGTGAGACACTGAAAAGTTTTTATAAAAAAAAAAAAAAAATTCGGGTTATTTTACATAAACTACTCATTATTGTTGTTCTTCTTCCAGCTGTTCCCATTAGGGTTTGTCACTGCACATCACTTATCTGCATGTTTGATTTGGCACAGATATTACGCCAGACGCCCTTCCTGACACAACCCTCCCAAATTTTGTCCAGGCTTGGGACTGGCACTGGGAGTGCACTGTCAGGTGCAATCCCAGTGGCTGGGGTTGGTTCCCTGGCTGGGAATCAAACAAAGGCCGTGGTGGCGAGAGTGCTGTGGCCTAACCACTAGTCCTCCAGGGACCCCCAAATTACTCATTGTCAGACTCATTAAATTGCAAATTTTTTTCTTCTGGCAAAAATGGGCTTCTGAAGCATCATAAAATGACTCTGTGTAGAAAGACGATTGTAGTCAATGGTGTAAAATGACAGTGGATGAATAAAGAATAAAACCATGATCAAACCTCATATTGCTGATGTCTATGTGAAACCTAAGTTTCCCAGGTTTTTGTTACAGTGAAGACACAAAGACCAGTGTGAAATGAGCAGAAACGTACTTTGAGAAAGGGAATGCCAACATTATGGAGATAGGAAACCTTAACAACGTATCCAAATATCACAGAGCACAGACAGAAGATGTAGGGCAGACAGAGAAGAAAACTGAAGATAGATGTGAAGAGCGTCATATGGACTAGAGAAGGATAATATGGACTAAAGAAAGAGCGGAACAACAGAGAAGAGAAACATTCCTTCTCTAAGGATGACGCTGCAGTGCTTTCACTCTTGACAGTGCAATTAAGGCAGCTCTTTCCTATTTTTCCCCTCAGAAATCAATAAGTCACAGCCGTGTTTGGCTTAAACCTTCACATTCACATTTACAAAAACCTTTTCAAAACAAGAAGAATGAGAAGAACATAATTTACTTATGTGTACATTGCTACTATTTTTAATGATCAGAAATACAAACAATGCAGGAATGATAGTGTTAGATTGTTTATGTACTTATTTGTAGAAATATCTGTTCAGATCTCTCTCTCTCAGTCTCTCTCTCTCTCTCTCTCTCCCTGTATCCCTTTATTAAGTCAAATACAGTTTCACAGTTCATGATATAAAAGATAGATGTAGAAATACTACTACTACTACAACAACTACTACTACTACTACTACTACTACTACTACTAATAATAATAATAATAATAATAACAATAATTATGAAATGAGAATTAATTAGGAGTATTTTGCATTTGTTTTCTATGCATTATAACACATTTCATTATCATCATCATCTAAACTAAGTCAAAAAATATTTGTTAATATTATACAGATATGTGTACATTGTTATATTGATTTAGTAGCAGTTATTTCCTAAATAGCTATTGTGTCAGTGTGATGTGTGTGCTTTATAGCCAATCAGTGTGTGGTCAAACTACCTTATATGCACAGGATGCTGGCATTGAAAGGATTTTAAGTTTATCCTATTTTAACTTGGCCTGGTGCAATTTTTGGCTATATATATATATATATATATATATATATATATATATATATATATATATATATATATATATGTTGTAGTTTTATATATCGTTTGGATATTATAGACTGCAGTTAACCATAAGGCTACAGAGACCTCTCACAAACTCTACATGACCACTGATGGTTGGTACCTCCTCATCAGTCAAAGCATTTACAGTCTCACTGCATAGAATCCATGATATCTTGTTAGCAAAAGCCTCCAAAACATTGCTAGCCTGCCACTCCACACTCAGCTGACCATCCTAAAAGCCATCCAATATAAGAGCAGGACACATAAAAACCACAGTTTTATTGCAGAAGATAAAAGTGTGGACATGAGGATTTGAAGCAAAACAGAAAATAGATCCCATAACTGTAATAGTCTCTTCACGCTGCAGTGAAACAAACTGTCTTCTTGTCCTATACCACTGAAGGCTATGAGACAAAACAGTTTGGATTTCTTTGTTTACTTGTCACTTGTCACATGGCTTTATTATCCTATCTGCACATTTAGTGCTTATTCAATGTCACACTCTTTCACTCCTTAGAAATGTAACACAATATCAACCAGTGGATAAAAAATGTTGGGCTTCGTGTATCTAGCTGGTTACCAACAAATTTATACATAAATCGTTTGTATAAGCGTTTACACACACACAAAAAAGAAAATTGCTTAAATTCAGAAAAACCTTCTTATCCTACTCCTGCTCCTGAATTTATGCATAAGAAGACTAACTCATGTAAACCAGAATTTGAATTTTATAATTTGTGATAAGTTCCTCGATTTTTATATACAGATTACGCTGTTCAATTTGAGTTCGAATCACTTATTTCAACTACACACACAAATATTTTTTAGATCCAATGTTTCATATAGGCGTAAATGGCGTTAATGAAATATTGCATACATACATTATATATTGACTTGCTACACTCAAATCCATTTTATGACAAATGAGGTTAGCTGCTCAGTTAAAATGAAATGCCACCGTATAAAGTATACTTTCGTCTTATGTCTATGAGAATATAGATATATATTATGTAATATATTATATAATATATTATATAAATATAATGAGAATTCTGCTTGTGGAAATTCAGAAAGACTGCTGCATCTAGACTGAACATTTTTTGGTGGTGAAAATTAAGCATAATACACACATTCACACACACCCCAAGTTCCTGAGTCACAGAGGTGGTCAGTAATAATGTCCTGTTTGTGCTCTCTTATAGTCTGAAGTCCTTTGGCCTTTTTGAGATTGAGGTCTTGACCCATTCATAATATTTTGATAACGGATATGATAGCATTTTAAACAAGTTGGGAAGGAAGTTAATGTTCTATATATCGGAAAAACTGGGCAAACACTGTGTGTGTTCTAGAATAAAGGTTCAGAGTAAGGATGAAGGATTGGCTGATTTGTGTGGAGATGTTTTAATGAATATAGAATAACAGAGTGAAGGACAGTAATTGATTTTCAGGATTTTTTTTTTTTTTCAGGAAAATGGGTTTAAGGATTTACAGATAATGTGTTGTAACTGAATATATTGCGGTCTTCCAAACAAACAAAATAAATGTAAAACATGCATACAGATTACATTAGTCATTGCAGTCTCAGTGTCTTGTAGTGTATTAATATGCACTTGTACATACTTATTTATATAGCTGGGATACACAGCTAAATTAAGACACTAGATTATACCAACTGAGTAAGAAGTGAAGTTGCAGCAATAAGAACATGTCATTTTCATCATCATTTTCATTACAACTAACTACTGTTTCAGCTGTAATTATGCTCCATCTTGAGTGCTTATCACTTTGAGATATCTATATATAATACTGATATAGGCTTTATATATAGATGTATTTTGCTACTAGCATTCAGTCATTCATCTTCAGTAAGTTCTTTATCCTAGTCAGTGTCTTGTCAGATTCGCAGTCTAGGAACACTGGGAGAGAGACAGGAATTCACCCTGGATAGGACATCAGTACATCACAGGGCACCATGCAGACACACATTCCCACACTCATTCATACCCTGGGGCAATTTAGACTGGCATGTTTTTAGGACATGAGGGCAAATTGGAGAACACAGAGGAAACCCACATGGACACGGGGAGAACATACAAAACTCCACACAGACAGAAACCTGAGCTCTAGATCAAACCAGAAGACCCTGGAGCTGTCAAGCAGCAACACTACCTGCTGCGGCTCTATCATTACTACTATATTTTATAGAAAAAGTTGGTGGTTGATCTTAGACATAAGGTCAGGAAGTGGGGCTAATTTCAATGCCATGCTCTCAAAACACATCTGACACAAACACACTTGCAATCTGACACCAGTGAGAGATCACTGAATATCAGTCCACATAAATGCCGAGGTTTAGAAGTCTGGTAGTTGGGAGGTTTATTGTTAAGCTACGAGTGAGAAGCTAGAGAAAACAGTGGGGCTTTTTAAATCTTGTTCCTACCAGTTTCTTATTTTTCTTAATACATAACTTGTGGCAAGGTTATTGCAAATGTGTCTAGTTTCTGAAGAAGGCTGTTTTTTATTCTCTTTTTTTTTGCTGTTTTCTATATGTTTGTTTTGTTTTCCTAAATGAAGCATACAGGACCTGGAAGTATATTTCGGTATTGTGTGTGAAGTATAAGTGCTACAAACACATTTAACAACCGAATCTCAGCACCAAATAACGGAAACCAAGAAACTGATCCATAAACTTTAAGTATTGAACTTTTCAGTATAAATGTATATACATACACTCATTCAGTTCTCTCTGGCTGGGACTTCATTCATTTAATGGAGCACAGAGCTTCTTTATTATGGGCAGTCCAGCAATTGTAGTCCATCATGTGGGTCAAAGCACGTGTAAGCAACATTAAACACAGATAATCCATTATAATAAGAGAGGTAAAGAGTCAAAGCCAGGAAAGATGAACCTATAAAACAAGTGACTAGGGGAAAAAAAAAGTTTAGAAAAGTACAATAGCTTTCAATGACACTTCAGAAGAACAATGACACCGAGGATATAAAAAGGCAAACTCATCATCACTCAAACGCAGGTGAAGGTCGTCAGTAAACAGTACAGTGATGAGATAGGGGCAGAGACAGGGGCATGTGGCAACATATAAACAAAAGAAAAAAGTAAATAAATAAACTTCTTGTCAGTGCTTCATTGCATCGCTTTAAAGCACTTGCAGAATAAAAAACACACAAGAAGACACAACACAGCCTGTGTTATAGAGCAGCCAAAGACATCCTGCCATTAAATTTTGTCCAGGGCACAAACACATTAGGCTTTATAAAGTTGTGAGCAGCTCCTGGGAATTAATGGACGCACTCATTTGTCTGTCGAACATTTGATCTGTGGAAAAGGCCAAAATACATCCCTCTATACAGCATCTACTAGCAGATAAATAAAATGGAGTGCCTTTTTGTGGGTGAACCCCACTGACAAGTGGTTACAGGCAGTGAATGATGGCACTGATGGTGTTAAAACACGGGGTATGACAACAGAAAAAAACGTAGCTGGAGTGGGTCTTTGAATCAGTTGTACACATGGTGCGCATCTGAAAAAATGACTACCATGCCTTGCATAAGTATTAACCCCTCTTGAACTTTTTCCACATTTTATAACCTGGAATTGCCATCATCGGTCACATAACTATGTGATTCGTGTTTACCTGTGTGCAATTATAGTGTCACATGATCTCAATATAAAAACATTCCTGGAAGACCCCAGAGTTTGTTAGAGAACATAACTAAACAAACTGCATTATGAAGACCA